AGGATTAAAACCTATTTTAATCGGTTCGTACCCGAGGTGCGAATCAGTTAAAAGCCCAGGTTATCACTAAACTGGAATGCGTTCTAAAAAACAATATTGTAAATGAGTGCGAGTAGGAGAACACCGTGCACTATGCACATTTTCGAGCCGGGTAAAATTAAAAAAAGTAATTTAAATAAGCAGTTTGCAATAACCGTATTACTTAGTTTTATTTGTATCGTAGCTCTAGCCATGCCAGGAAACCCGGCTAACATGGCTACTGTGGACGCACCCTCTCTCTTCTCTCTCTCCGTTTCTCGAGCAAAAATCGCACAAAAAACAAATCATACACGGCACATGCACCGCGTCGCGTCTGACTCGCTCTCTCGAAGATTGGCGTTTTATTTTTCATTTTCTCCCCGCGCGCGCGCGCGTGTAGTATACATATTGCATGCCGTACGCACTAAGCGAGAGCGATATAGAGAGAAAGAGCTCTCGATATATAGGGTGCAAGCTTGATGGGATGTCTTCATGAATTTTTGAAGGCCTGGCGCGAGAGGCAAAGGGCAAAGAGACTTGCATCTCTCTCTCGTGCCTTTATATTCGAATTATCATGCATAATATTGGCTGCTATCAGGACCCGAGCTCTTTGCGTTTCGCTATACACGGCACAAATTGTGTATCGGTGCGTAAACATATCGACGTATAGTATATAGTAAAGTTTAAAAGCACCGCTTCGATATATACACGTCCAACACAAGCCGTAGATATACCAGTTGGCCAGAGATTTTTTTTTTCTTCTTTACTTTCCGCGCAGTCAAAAGGACGTTTCCTGTTCCCTTTTTTATTCTTGTTCATTTGTATATATATTGTGTACCACTATATACACGCTCGCACATGCACAGACAAGTTGTCCTTAAAACTCGGGCGCTCGGCGATACGCCACGGCGTTGAACACTATTGTTTCTCGCGTGGGCGGGGTGCGTTGTGCGATAGTAGAAGTGTACAGGCCGAAAACTTGTCGCACGCGGCGCGTGTGTCCCGCGCATTGAAAAGTCGAAAACAAAGCTCTTGTTGTGTGTATACGACGTGTAATACATCGAGTATAGGTGATAATATTATACTCGTAATAGCTGAGAGTGTACGTGTACTGGAAGCGAAGAAAATAAAAACAACCGTACAAGTAAACGACGAGTCGAATATTAACATTGTTTTTAAGATCATCGCGATACGCGCTTATTTTGTCGCTTTTATAGACGAGCAAATCCCACGCGTGTAGTATCTATACGTGACACACGCTAACACGCGACGTCGTGAGTCACTCGCTATTCGCGCGCTCGTATTAGGATGTGCTTCGCGCTTGTTTTATGTATTATATAGAAAATGAGTTATGCATTCGCGACGTTTTTCAGGTGAAATCTCGTGATCGTTCGCGAGCCGCACGACTTACCTGCCGCGTAAATACGATGAATCAGACGCGCAATAATTGTGCATTACGCTATATACGATAGCGTTTCGTTCTATTTTCGTATATATCGTACGTATCTGCACGCGCATGCAACTATACTTATTTTTTTTACTCGCCAGGTTTACGGTTCAAAACAAAACGTGAAACGATCGTACTTGTATGCACACTCGAGTTGTAATAATATCGTTCGGTCGGGCAGCGGCAAAAGCAGCAGCAGTAGCACAAATTGAAGTTAAATACTTGCGCCAGTAGCGCAATAGATATTCGGATCGTATCGGGATCAACAACCGCAGATATTATGCGGTGAAGCATGTCGTTCGGTGTATCATTATAACTTCGATAGTATATCCTTTGCGCGTGTATGCGCACTTATAATGCGGCAATTATGTATCTGCATGTTTATTATTATGTGCGTTGCGTCTATTTTCAAATGACAACTTTTTCTATATATAATATATAGGACCACCGGTTGGGTGCACGTAAACGATTGTTTTCTCTCTCTCTCTCTCTCGCGAGTAGGCGGCGATTTTCTTCGAACTCGAGCGCGAGACAGCAGCAAGTAGTCGAGATTGTTTTTTGCCAACCAGCTTTCCCGATTTCGTCGCAGGGGCGCACAGGAAACGAATCTCCTTTTCTTCGGTTGTTTCATTTTTTTTTTCTTCATTGATTTTAGTACCGGCGGATAATATCCGTTCGGGTAATTATTATCACTGTCAAGGTGCAACGATCGACGACGCAGGCCGCAAAGAGAAGAAGAAAAAAAAACGGAACGAGAGATGAGGAAATTCCACCGATTTTTTCTCTCTCCTTCTCTTTCTCTCTCTCTCTCTCTCTTGTAATTCGCGTTTTATTGTTATACATACAAGCGACGATGCTCGTGGCAGCAGCAAAAGTAGTAGTAAAGCCGAAGGGAGAGCGAAAAGATCGTACGATATGGTCTGATTCGCCGGAATTGATCATCCTCGCGTATTCGGCCATGACGTTATATACACACACATATGTACGCATCGCGGAGCGATCCTCTAACTAACCGCTTTTAATGCTTCGCGACTCTTTCGTTTTATATATACCATCCATGTGTACGTGTGTCGGTGTATTATATACGCATGAGTCAAATCTGCTGCTGCTGATGCTCCGACATTCTTCGGACTGCGCGACTTCGATGACGACCTTTTTTTTTCTTTGATACATTTTATATGTACCTAAAATGTTGACCAATCGAATTATAAAACGTTACGCACGTCGTAAATAATATTCGCGTGTTATAGATATATGGATATATAATTTATGGAAATGTTGCGAATCGTCGTTCACCTTTTTTATTTTTTGATACAATTTTCGATGAGAAATATGTTACTTGCGATGTATTTTCTCATCGTAAAAAACCATCGAGTTACCGCTCTAGATAAACGTAAAAAAAAGTAACGAAAGAAGAATAAGCGAGTTTATGATCGGCTTTACCCAGTATAATCATTATATTGCACGACTCGAGTGTTCTCGATTTTATTTTTCCTTTTTAATAAGTCCAAATAATTACGTGTAACCGCGCCGCGCTCGCGGTTTATAATATCATACGTATATGCGATATTACTAAATATATATTTTTGAGCGTCGAAGCTCGCATGTCACTCGGCGGCGCGTTTTTATTATCATTGTCTCTCGAGTACGAGCAGAAAACAGGAGAAGAAGAAGACGTCCCGAGACATCATTAAGCTTGCCGCTTACGAAATAGATTTTCCTGAAAAATTTAGTCATTCTCGCCTAAAGCAGCAGCGACGAGCGTCGTATGATACGAGAAAATCAACCATAAGAAAACGTCACACAAGTAGGTTGATGAGAAAATCTCCCTACTCGAGACGATTTCGCGTAAACCCGAGTGCTGCGTGGTTGGAATACAAGTTGTACATCGTATGTTCCACACGCGTAAGACAAATTTCGCATTGAATATCGCATCGACAAGATATTATACACGTTAAAGATGAGTAATCATCGACAACGTGTTAAGCGCTTCCTTCCGACATCCGATAAGTCGTTATTATTATGATTTCAAAAAGTTTGCTCAAGATTAAATATTTCAATTCAACACTTTTGTATATAATACTCGGCTGTATATCTTATAATTTCCGTTTTGGTAAACGACGATCCGTACGCACGTACAGAACCGATCGATATACGTGTATAAACAAAAGTTTTTTTGGTATTAAGTATCGAGGATAAACTCTCGAGGGGCAAAAGTTTGTGCGAATTTAGCAGGAAAAACAGCCTACACCGTATTGAGTACCATATAATATAGTATCGACTCTCGAGGATTTATCGTATTTATTTATTTATTTTTTTTCGTGCGTGAGAGGAAAAAAAAGGATACATTACGACCGCTACTGACCGATTCCACACATTTCACCTCGCATCGTATAGACGCGCGTTAAAACTCGCATACTGTATAAAACGAAGTGGCGTGTGTGATGCGGAGCTCGTGAAAAAAGGAGTGCAACAACAAACATCGTGCGATTTCGAAGCTCCTAATTTCAGCGAATTATCCTCTCTCTCTCTCTCTCTCTCGCTCTCTAGGGGGCAAGATCCTGCTCTCGTTCCCTGAAAATCGAGCCCGAATAGCGCGAAACGCGTTAAATTAATTAACGATAATCGCGAGAGCCAGCAGTGCACGCGCAAATTACTTGTGATCGCTGCTGCATCCATATGTAAAATAAAATAAAAAAAAAAGCCAAAAGTAACTCCAGACTCGGAATTAACGTATATATAGGCAGCATCCGAGGTGACGCACACGCCGTCGTCGTCGTCGTCTTATAATCTCGAGAGTGCACACTCGTACGATAATATACGTGTAATGTCGCGTGGCTCTACCTTGTTGTATATATAAGCTGCAATGCCAAACGTACGTAGGTACATGCATACATGTGTGTGTGTGTGCGCAGTTCGCAACGCGCGCGCGTAAAAATATAATACGGTACGTTACGTACTCGCACAGGTAGAGCATTATAGGTATGTATTTCGTACGCGCGCAAAAATCGAGAGTTCGTTCGCGCTCGTACATAGCTGGCCTTTGACGTCTGTCTGTGTATGTGTGCGTTGCATTTTCAAACTGTTGAGGGGGGCAGAGAAGTTATGCGTGTGTGTCTGTAGGTACATTACGCACACACACGCATGTATTCCTCTACCTATATAGTTGGCCGAGTCGAGCCTCCTCCGAACCGCTGCTAAACTGCCTTCGGACGACGCGCGATCACGCCACTGTACCGGAATCGCGCGAATCGACGAATCAGAGGGCCGCTCGGTTAGCGCCGTCTCTCTTCAACTCGTGCCGCCAGACGAGCCAGCGGAGTCGCTTCCCCCCTTACACTCTCTGCGCGCTGCCGACCAGAGAGAGAGAGAGAGAGAAGCGGCATTTCAGCGTGCGAGACTCGACTCGTTTCTTTTATTATATACCTATATATACATTTTTGCGTTCGTGTGTGTATGCAGTGCTCCGATCTGCGGCGGCAATGCCTCGTACGATTCGTACGCTCGCGGCAGTCGCGTGCTTCTACCTCTTACGTTAACGACGGAGCTTCTCTCCTTCTGCACACGCGGGTATATTATATATAAATCGGACCGGACACCCGAGAGAGTCGCTTCTTCTTCGCGTTTTGCCTTTTTTTAATATTAATTAATTAATCAATTATTGTCGTTCGATCGATTGGCGTTGCATCGAGTACGACGATACAAAAAATTCAAGTTACGGTTGGTCTGTTTGTAGTAAACAAGACGATCGTTCGATTGCAGCAACCCTAGTCAACGGTTGGTTTCATTCAAAACAAACCCTTACTTCTTTTTATTAACAAATGTGACATATTATGCGTCAATGAGATCGGAAAATCGCCAAGAGGAGATCGGCAATTTTTTTCATATTTCTCTCTCTCTCTTTTTTAAAAAAAGTGCAACGATCGGACCGAGGTGCGTCAGCGTCAGAAGCACAACAAACCGATCGTACGATGTTTTGGAAAGTTCGCAATTATTACGTCAAAAGAACTCGCGCGCGCGTGTGTGTACCAAGTCACACGTGCTCTCCTCTCAACGTCGAGAAAAATAATGATAAAAAAAAGAAAGAAATTGAGAAAATCGCTGGTCTCCTAGTGCATTTTTTAAAACAAAGTGTGCCTCGAGGGCAGTTTCATGAAGAAGTATAACGAGCAGTTTTGTGTCGCGAATTCTGAAATAATAAGTGCGACGCGACGATGAGAAATCGTTTTTACGTGTGTACAATGTGAACGTGTATCTAGACAAGCACCTGTGTCGACTTTAATTGTGCCAATCGCTTGTTTTGATGTACGTTAATTTCAGGTGCGCGCGCGAATCTCGTCCAAATCGCGGCTACTCGGCGCGCGTTATCGATCTGGATCGCGTCGATTTTAAACCTTATCGAGCGCGTATTATCGTAACTCATCGTAAGAATACCCATAACTACACACGTAACAAAACGATTCGCGAAAAAGACCGAATGAAAGAAAAAATCGAAATTCTAAAGGAATCGCGCGATGCAGCAGCAGCGAGCGGCGAAATAGTCGCGAGTCATTTTCGCGCGCGCGCTCGTAAACTCCATATAGCGTGATGCATTACGTTGTAATCGTGACATGGCTCGTACGATACCGAAATTGACGTTTACGTCGATATAATATCGTCGCCTCGCTCGACGTCGTGCAAGAGGGTATATGTGTGTACACGCGTGCATCGGTTCTTCGCAGGTGTCGATATATACGTCGCCGACGCTGCCGCCAATGCCAAATAGACACGTGTCTCGCGCGATCCGTACGCGCGTGTTCGATCTCGGCTGCATATGCGTCCATTCATATAAAAGCGCATACATATAGTTTGTGTACGATATAGGCGCGAAATTTTGCACGCCACAAGACTGCTCGTTTTCGTCTCTTGGCCTCACATAATAATATAAGTACGTGGTTGTTAACCCGTGCAATTTTTTCCTCGTGTATACAGTTTTATTTTACACGTGGTTTTTCAATTACGAAGTCTACATTATGTCGTTGTTTTTTTTCTGTGCCGCAGTGTGTATACCGTCGACGTCGTTGGCCTGCAATTTCGGAGTCTACTACTACTACTTACTACTCATCTCGACCCCGTTTTTGGACCAAGCTTTTGTTTATTATATACGAGGAGCCGCAAAACGTTTATTAGTGTGTGGTGCTGTTAAATAATAATAGTAAAAAAAAAAAGTAATAATAATACAGTGTGCGTGTGGCCGTGCGTATACACCATCCATACCTGCAGCAGCACTACAGCCTGGCGCGTTCATCACTGTCGGACCAGCAGCAACAGCAGCGGCGGGAACGACTGTATTTCGCACCGTTAACCCACAGGTTTGTCTCTCTCGACAATCTTAATTGGCTCGAGTATTAAATATGCGCTGTCTGTGTGATATGCGTATACGAAATCGTGTAACGTAAACGCTCGACGATCGTCTCGTCGCGAAAAACGAGCCATCTCGATTACGGACGTGTATAATGCGTACCGGCGGCGGCAGGCGCGAGCACGCGCGCGAGAGAGGACAAGGAGGAGGAGGACGAGGATGAGGATGAATTTTTTTTTAACGCGATCGTTGCCCGCGACGGGCAGAGGAGTAGCAGGTACACCAGACATAATCCTTCGGTATACACAAGTTCGAGGATCGCTGCTGCTGCAGCACACACACAGGCCGTATACAGCAGCAACCGGTTTTATGTATATTTCGCGCGAATCCAAGGGTCGCTTACACCCAAGTATCTCTCGTACGAGCTGTGCATGCGTGTATGTGTGTGCGTCTGTGTATGTATACGCTGCAAGAAGCCGAAACTTTTTTTGCGCGAGCCACGCGCTTCATACGCTCTCCAACGACGACTGTGTGACGACGACGAGGAGCTTGCAGCGCGCCGCTCGAGACCTTGCGTTAGACGTGGCGCGTCGGGGCATTGTTTTATCGCTTCGGTGATATATTAGCTCGTTGCTACTGACGCGTTTTCGCACACACGCGTATATGTATATTATTTGCAAGCTCTCTCGTCTACGTAGGCACATTTAACCGACGTACGTTTTGTCTATTATGTGTACCATAGTTTTGTCACATTCGCACGCGCGCAAGAGCCGCAAGCTCCGATACTTTTGCACGTGCGAGAGTCGCGATGATTAATGCGCTCGTGGACCCCCTGACAAGAAGAATATAATGAGCGAAGAATAAAAGAACCAACCTGTTATGATGATTTTTTGTTCGCGCGCCTATAAGTGATATTTATTTTTTTTTTGGTGTTTATAGTGTAAACTCGGATAGCCGTAACACAATGTATATCAAAACGTATGTTAAACTCGTGTTAAGCTGTATAATTTACATCGGATATGGAAAAATCTGTCACACCCGTGGGATTACCGTATTATACATACATGAGCGTTCGGGTTGTTTCATACATTACATTGATATTTACGATGAAGTTATACTCGACCGCGGAGATCTTGAGCATTGCTGCTGCTGCTCGTATACAGCCAAGCGCAAAGCGCGTCAAGTGGAAAGTACGCCTCGATCGCCGTTCAAAAGAATCGCGCCGACTCTGCGCTGCGCCGAATTAATGTCCGAATATTATATTATACGTTTATATACGTTGTATAGCATTGCGCTTGTGTGTATGTGTGTATATATAATATTAACGACGTTAAACGCGCTTACACCGTCGGAATTATAATCTTGATTTAATGATGTTCTCTCTCGATCTCTGGCGTGCCTCGAGGGCGCCCAGAAGAAGCGAGAAGAAGCCTTACCGTGTGTATATAACTCCTTTTCTCCGCTCGTTGGAGGTCTTTTACTTCCTTTATCAGCATCTTTCGAATCGCATCGGAATCATCGAAATTACACCTGCGACGCGTCTCGCGCCGTACAAAAACAGACGCAGATGACACCGAGGGAAAAACCAAGTGCGCGGATAGGTGAAAAAAAAATAAATAATAATGATGACAATAATCATAAATATCGCGAATAAAATATGTGACTAATTTACGCACAATTATATTTAGTAGATGCAGATCGGAATGCGCTTCGACGCACTTTTTTCGTGTGATTTTAAAAATTGTCTTCTTTATTCGACATGAAATCAATCTCTAATTTCCCGGCTAGTTTACGAAATTCATAAAAGTGACACGCGCGCCGATCACTTTGGTATAAGCGGCGGTGGATAGATGCGCGCACGCGTTTACACTCTATGTATTAGAAAGTATTGCCTACGGATGCGGCATGTGCGTCGTGGTCATTTTAAACCAAGTAACACGAGGAGGTACATCCACGCGTGACATTATTTTCCAATCATCAGTACAGGTTAGGAAGTCGCAGCGTGAACAAGTTAGAAAGATCGAATCGTTCGCAGTCAGTGATTTTTGTGAAAAAAATAATAATGAATTCTATTTTTAAAAGTATCAGTGATTACGTTTTCGAAAAGATGACGTTTTGGGAAGTCACCAGTTGGGAAAAATTGAAGAGACTACGAGGAGAGATCGATTGGAAGGACGAAGACCGTAGACTTGACTTCTTCAGTAGTTTTAAAGTTTTAATTGACAATTGGCGTGGCCGACTTCCAGATCTTCGAAAAATTTTTCGGCGCGAAGAAATCAATTGGATTCTGACGCATTGTACGAAATCCGCTGGAATCAAGTGGCAAGCGGACGAGACCGAGGTAAAAGCAGTCTTCGACTTTGTGATCAGGACGGGCTACCGAGACCAGCCCGACGCTAAAGGAGACGGTAAGGCGCTGTTGCATCGTCCCACGGCACTGCATCAAACATTGAAAAACTGGCACGGCGAGCCGGAACTCGTCCGGGATCTCTTTCGAATCTACAATGGGTTCGACGTGAATTATCACGACGGCGAGGGCTTGACTCATCTCCACGTGGCGTGCAGGTATGCCTTCGACGACATAGTAGAGAAATTTCTCGAACACGGCCAAGTCGATCCCAATTGCCTCGTGTCGGATGTAAGCGATCCGCCGCTTCACTTGGCCATGAGTTACGGCCACAAAAGGGTAGTCGACTTGCTGCTGAGAGGAGGCGCCGATCCGAATCTGGCCAATGCGGAAGGATTGACGCCTCTGCAGTTTCTTTGCAAAAATTCCTGGGCCAACCATGAATTGTTGGTGCTATTCTTCAAGATTATCGACGAGACTCAGCAGACGGTTCAGATCGACGCCCGAGACAAGTTGGGTCAGACGGCGCTGCACTATGCTATGCTGAGACGCGACGAAACTGTGGCCGAATTGCTGCTACGAACAGGGGCCGATCCAAACTTGGCCGATAACGAGGGATCGACGCCCCTGCATCTTATCGTTAAGACTTGCTGGGATAATGACGAATTGTTGGAGCTATTCTTCGAGATTATCGACGAGACCCAGCAGACTTTGCAGATCGACGCCCGAGACAAGTTGGGTCAGACGGCGCTGCACTATGCTCTGCTTAGACGCGACAAAACTGTGGTCGAACTGCTGCTGAGGCATGGCGCCGATCCAAATTCGGCCGATGACGAGGGATCGACGCCTTTGCATCTTTTAGTCGAGAGTTGCAGCGCCAATGACGAATTGGCGTTGATGTTGTTCGAGCTCAGCGACGAAAAATATCATCCGGTGCAGGTCAGCGCCCAAAACGAGTCCGGTGAAACGGCGCTTCACTTGGCCCTGAAGAACAAAAACCGAACGTTGGTGGAGTTGCTGCTGAAAAACGGCGCCAGCACTCATTTAGCCAATAAGGAGGGATTTACCCCTTTGCACATAATTTGCAACAGTCGCTCCATCTATAACAGCGATTTGTTGAAGATGATATTCGAGCTCAGCGACGAAAAATATCATCCAGTTCAAATCGACGCCCGAGACGAGTCCGGTGAAACGGCGCTTCACTTGGCTCTGAAGAACAGAAACAGAACGTTGGTGGAGTTGCTGCTGAAAAACGGCGCCGATCCTAATGTATCCAATAAACGAGGATTCACACCTTTGCACATTGCGTGCAAGAACGACCGTGAGCATGATTTTGAGAGGATGGTCGTTCGGGACAAGTTAGGTTGGACACCAGTTCCACCCCATCAGAACCTGCGTAACTATAGATGTATACCGCTAAACGAAGCTCCAGAGATGGAGAGGAATGAATCGACACCCTTCCACATGATTTGCAATAAAGACCGCGACAATGTTGACTTGGCGGAGATGTTATTCGAGCTCAGTAACAAAAAATACCATCCAGTGCAGGTCAACGCCCAAGACAAAAAGGGCAATACACCACTACACGTGGCTCTGGCTCATGGCTGCAAAAACATGTTCGAATTACTGTTGAGAAATGGCGCAGATCCAAATGTGGCCAATGCAATACAAGTGACGCCTCTGCACATCTGCATCGAAAATGAAGAATTGGCGAAGATATTCTTCGAGATCAACGACGACGTGCAGCAGACGGTGCAGGTCGATGTCCTCGACAAGGAAGGCCGGACACCCCTTCAATGGGCCATGACGAGTCTGAAACCGGATATGGTCGATTTACTCTTGAATCGTGGTGCCGATCTGTCAAACTTCGTTTTTCCTACTGAGGATGATTTTCACAAGAGCGTGAAAATTCCCAACACAAAGCAAACAATCGAATCTAAATTGAAAGTTACATTGGGCATTCTGGGCGTCATGGAGAACCTAGAGAAAAGAGGAGTCGTATTGGATTTAAGCGATGCCTTGTTGACCATGCTGTTTCTTGCTATGCACGGATTTTTCGAGATGAAGGTGAAATTCGACAAATGTTGGTTCGAGGACGAAAATTTCGCGAGCGAGTCGAAAAAGTTGATGATAACACCGAGCACGTCGTTCTACGACTTTGTTCGGCTGTCGCCTGAAAAGGCGGATAGAAGACTCACTTGTACCGACTACTTTAGGTTTTTACAAAAGCATTATAATCAAAAAGAGCGTCGTAATCATTTTCTCCCCGAGGGGAGTATTATTCAGACTTGTGCTGTGTATCTGTGCGAGAAACTAGTGAGAAGATTTTTCCTGAGCTGGGCACTGGATTGTTTCTCGGAGCTGATGCATAACCGACTGCCAGTTCTTTCCTGTGAAATGATCATCGACAATTTGATGAACAGAGATTTACGTAGTATTTGCTTAGCGATTAAACGCTAAAGCTCATAATGTCGATAAAAATGTTTATATTATTTTTTGTAATGTCCAGTGTTATTTAATATAGCATGATTTCCAAATCATTCAAATAAATAAATAAAAAAATAAAATGAATTATTAAAATTTTTTCAAAATCATCCGTATAAGAGCAACGGTAAGATGTAAACATTTTTTATTAACGATTTAAAAAAAATAAATATCTAATC